AACGCATTCCTTAGAAGGCCTGTGAACGGTGAAAAATGTGACCTTTGATATGAGCTGTGACGTCATCGGTTGCAGCTAGGTCAATGAAATTCGGTCTCATGGTAGTTCCCCGGTGGGACTATCGAACTCCGTTTGACTTTTGGAAATTGAAAATCGGTCGGTAACTTTCCGAGACCTTGGGGGGGCGCCCCCTCCCCCACAACGGATCGCAGGGACAGGGTCCGCCACTACCCCAACGGAACGAGGACAAGCGAGTGTGCAAACTCGCTCACCTATACCATATGTATATCATATGCATAGTGCATGCATACCATGGACAACTCACTATGGCATATATGCATACAAGGGGCATGATAAGACATGTGGTATACGCATGATAGATATGTGTGATCATTGGACATTGTCTCATACAAGTCAAACTACACTGAGAAAAATGTTCACTCCAAATAAAAGAGGAAAATGGTTCCATTGTAACCCTGAGTTTAGAGTTATACAATCACTCCACTTACTCCACTAAAATGTGTATGTAGCATGACCTCTTTTATAACGAAAAGGTGTAGGCATACCACCATTGGAGCAAACCACCACTTGAAAAAGACTAAGCATGAGCGCGTACTTCATGGAAACGTTACACCCGTACCAGGTGCAGCATCGCGTGATTTGTGGCACTGGCTACACCCTTATTCCAGACAGAATGTTACGTAACACCCATCAGGGGTACCGCCGTTTTGGCTCATCAGAGCCTAAGGGTGTAATGGTGGGCTTCATCCGAAAATTTCTTTGATTCCGCTGTTCGGCAAAGTTTTAGAAAGGATGGCATACATGTCGCTACTCTGTCATGTGAACCCGGTTCTATCCCCAGTTCAGCACGGCTTTGTCTCCGGCAGGTCGTGTGCCACTAATCTGGCAACTCTCCTGAGCTCCTCCTGGGATTCGATAGCTTCTGGAGATCAAACTGACTGCATCTACACTGATTTTTCTGCGGCCTTTCAGAGTGTGAACCATTCTCTACTGATTCATAAATTACAAAATTCATTTAACGTATCTGATACTGCCCTATCTTGGTTCACCTCGTATCTTGAAAACAGACGACAGCTGTCATAGTGAACGGGAGGTGCTCGGAGTGGTGCCGGGTTACATCGGGCACCCCGGAGGGCGGCCTGATTTCCCCCCTTCTCTTCGCCCTCCATATCAACGACCTGCCGTCCGAGATGTCCTCTCGGTGTCTCATGTTTGCGGATGATGTCAAAATTTACCGTCGGATCACCTGCGCAGCCGATGCGGATCTCCTTCAGGCCGACCTACAGAAGCTGTGCCGGTGGTCCGAAACCTGGAAACTTTCCCTCAATCCGGCCAAGTGCAAGTCATTCAGAATGACTTTGAAAACAAAACCCATTTTAACAACGTATTTTGCCAAAAACACGGCCTTAGAGCACGTGAACTCTATTCGGGACTTAGGAGTAACTCTGGACACCAAATTAACTTTCGGCCCCCACATCCAAAGCACCGTCATGAAGGCCAATAGGGCACTCGGAGGTTTGATTCGATCATTCCAAACGGCCACACCGAGGGGACATCTCAACACATCAGCGGTGCTCACGTCGTACTTTGCTAACGTACGATCTGTACTCGAGTTTTGCAGCGTCATATGGGGTGGCGCAGCAGCCGTCCACACCGACCGAGTAGACCGAGTGCAGCATAGGTTTTTGATGTGGCTAAATGCTCACTCTCGCAGTCGCTCACCATCCATGTCGTATGCGACTTTGCTCAAACACTTCAAGACATGCTCGTTGGCATCTCGCAGAACCCAGCACGACATTTTGTTTGCTCGCAACGTGCTAACCGGGAAGATACGCTCATCATTCTTGCTGAGCGCCTTTTCCCCGAGCACACCCATCCGTTCGACGCGGCAACAAGTGCTGTTGTATGTGCCCTATGCTAGAGTCAGCACTGTGAAGGGTGGATTATTTGTGCGTTTGCCGAAGGTCGTGAACAGCTTTCTGAGACAGCGATCGCAAGCTGACATCTTTCACGACTCATATGTCACGTTCCGTTCCAGTGTTATCGCATATGTGTGTGCTGCGTGATGAGAAGCTTCTTCGTGTAACTGTAGGCACGAGCTGTTTTGCTATTTTATCACCACTGTATGTATTTTAAACTGTATGCTGTTAGTGTTCATTTACATGCTATATTTGTGTTTTTAATGTTTGACTTCGTCGCTAATTGGGGGACTCCCCGTAGATGATTTTGCTGAATAAATGAAATAAATGAATAAATGAAAAGGGTGTTATTTTTTATTTTTGCACAAAGGTGTCAATGAAGCCAAAGCTGGTTCACTTAAGTAGCATTATGGGTGTGGCAAAGGGTGTTGGGTTGCCCTCATAAATGGTGCTTACATGAGCCAACTGGATCATGTCACAACCGTTAACCCGGCAGTTGCTGGGGTATTTCGCCACCCACCGTTTGCTGGGGGGGGGGGGGGGCGGGCGTTAAACGCCCCCAGCCGATAACTCGAGAACTAATAGGCGCAGCGAAACGCACGAGGCGGCAAACGAAAGAACGCAACGAGACGCTTCAGATGAGTACTTTAAAGTTGAATTTTGAGGTCACAGGTCGGGTCAAGGTCAGGTCAAACACCTGAAATCGGGCTTTCAGTAGCATGGATTTCAGGACTTCGCAATGGGCGCCTCTCGTCATAAACTCTGTCAAAACGGTGCACAATCCATCATATAAGGCCTACAAGAGTGTCAGCTCCATGTAGGGGTCAATCAAGCGTAGGTCAGGGTCAAGGTTAGGTGAACCGGGTAGGCACATATCCCCGAAAATCAAAACTGATATTCGCAGCCTGTGACACATGTTTTATGGGTAATTTGGGGCGTAGAACACGATGGTGACATTCATTTTATCATATGTGTACGTGTTTGGCTAAAAAACTTCAATTTAAGAAATGCATGTATCATGGTCGTGAAATAGTTACCGAGAAATTGCCAAGATTCAGTTCAAGATTTTGGAAAATGCGAAACGATAATCAATAATCGAAGATAGCCATTTGATTGTTCAAGGTATTGGCAGTCTAATGGCGTTTACGGCATGTCTGTATGTATATTCTGTGATTTTATATGATTTTTTGAAAATATGCCGTTTTTTGTCGAAAACTCGCAAATCATGACGTCACTAAAACCTCGATATCTCAAAAAATTTCCGACCGATTTTTTGAAACATTGTCACAATAAACTTCAATCAATTCCCTACAGGTACCCAAAATTTGGCGCGCCTGCGGCGCGCCGTTTTTATGCTATGGCCCGGCGAAAAAAGTGGGGGCGTTTAACGCCCCCCCCCCCCAGCAACTCGCGGGTTAAGGGTGCTGAGCTGAAAAGTTTGGCCTACATCCCATGAAGAAGAGTCAAACGGATAGAGCTACACCCGTATTGCGGTTATAAGTGTCACTCAACACTTATTAAAGGTGTCATTTTTGCACCAAAAATACACCCCTCATGGGTGTAAATATATTTGTGTGCTGGTACATACGTATGCAGAGAGGTCTGTGCTGTGCCGTGGAGGGTTGTCATTGATAAGACAAGGGCGCTGCGGCGGCGGCGGCTGAGGTCGGTGACCGTCCCAGTTGCCGCCCACCCCAGCATGGCGGCCGGCAAGGTATCCGGCGCAAACAACAGCGGTCAACGGCTTACCACGGCGACGGGAGGGGTCAGCGCGGGCAGTGGCGGAGGGCAGCGCGGCGGCACCAACGGCTCGGCTGGGTGGGGCCAGCCCGCCGTCGAAGAACCTGTTAGAGACCGTCCCTGCTACTTGACAGCACCTACGCAGTGCAGTGCCCACGAAATGCGCCATCCGGCCCGGAGGCGAGGGTGGCAGGAAAAACACTAGCTACGCTTTCCGCGAATGACGACAGAGGCTCATCAGTCATCACACTCCCCTGTTCCTATGATACTTGCCATAATTCCAAAAGAATGCTTTCCTTAAAGGGATCCTAGTTCCTTAAAGGGATCTTAGGGATCCTTAAGGGACTTCACCTTCAAAAAGTTTATATAAATTGGCATAACAGTGATGGTGGTTCAGAAAGAGCAAAAATGAATTTCTACCAAATTTGATCGAAAAATATGCATCGTCTTTTTAAGTATACTTTTATTTTCGTTTATTTTTGGGGTCTCCGCTGTTCCTATATGACTTCATTTGGAAGCAATAATTTGGTATCTTTGTAGTGACGAGCTGTGCCCGATCGCGTAGTGTACATATGTTATGTTTGTTTGTTTATGTTTGTTGTCATATGTCTGTATCGTGCATATATTCTCTGTACCTAATGTGTCCGCCACTGCGCGCGTGGACCTCCAAGAACTGTGCGCCGTTCTACATGATAGCGCATGCGCACTATTCGTTACCACTTGGTACTGTTAGTACAAAGGTCGCCCAATTGTGTGCAAATACATTCGATTTCTAACCGGAGCAGGACTTTGAAGAAGAGAGGCGAAGGAAGACGGAGAAGGCTGAAGGCTGACGACGGAGAGACACACGCACAACCGACCTTCAAGGTCGCACCGAGCTACGGTCGAGCGAGGTGGGCAACACGCCCTTAAAGACGCCTCTGATTGTAGCCACGCCGGTACCCCTGGTCGGACCCGGTATACTGACACGGACCTTGCCACTGGCTCTGGCTCAGGTTGTCTTAGCGGACACGCCTGCCAGTCCAGACGCTCTCCTAAGAGCGAGTGCTCGGCTACCGCCAGTCTGCCGGGCCCAACAGCGTTCTGCTGACACCCGCCGATACCGCTCGCCGCACCGCAAGTGCCGCAGCGATTCGGGCGCTCCAGGCGAGCGTAACGGGAGTCACACCAGTCCGCGCCGCCAGGCTCTGCCCGCTGTTGTATTCACGGACGAAGCTATTCATTCTTTAGATTGCTGACACAGATTCAGTAGATTGCACAGATCAGCTGGCCGTCCGTAGAATTACACTGGTGACCCCGACGTGATACTCCAACCCAGTCATGCCGGACGCCACGGAGTTGGACAACGCAGCACCGCGGGGCGCCCCTCCCGCGACGGTGTCCAACGGGCCTCCAGCTGAGACCGCTCAACGGCCGCTAGCTTCGTTCCGCCTGCCACCATACACGCCAGAAGAGCCCGATCTATGGCTCCTACAGGTCGAATGCGCGTTCGACATCAGCGGCGTAAGCTCCGACGAGCTCCGGTACAAACTTCTAGTCGCCAACCTGCCAGCGACTATCGCCGTCCAGGTCAAGGACGTGATAAGGACATCAAGGTCATTCACCGCCCTGTGCGACGCGCTGAAGTCTCGCCTTGCGCAATCCCGGGCCGACAGGCTGCAGTCGCTACTCAGCCGACAGCAGCTCGGCGACCAAAAGCCGACGGCGCTCCTCCGTTCCATGAGGAACGAGCTGGCCGCCGCCGGGGACGCTCCCGTGGACACGGAGCTGTTCCGGACACTCTTCAAACAACGTCTGCCGCAGCCCGTCCGCGCTGCCCTGGCCCTACTGCCGGCCGACAGCGCACTGGACGCGCTGGCAGAAGCGGCAGACCGATACCTGGACGCCAGCGGACCCGCGAACCCTCATCGACCCGCGGACCCTCATCCCGCAGGGGGCTGACCGTGGTCAGAGCTGCTGCTTAGCCGAGGTCATCTGGCCCCGGCTTTGCGGCGGCTGTGACTTCGGCCAGTAAGGGGAGTAGCGCCCCCTCGGCCCCAGCTTGACGCGCGTTTGACCTGGACTTGCTTTGGTTGCCGGATGGATTGCCTGCTGGATTGGCCCCGCAGGGGGTTGGCAGTGGCCTGGGTCGCTGTTGGACTGGGCTCCTTGGGCCCTCGCCCCGCGTCGGCCCTGGCCTCGGCCAGCAAGGGGAGTAGCGCCCCCTCGGCCCCAGCTTGACCCACGCTTGCTTACGATTTGCTCTTGATCACTGGATGGACAGATGGTACGGCCCGACTTTTCTTGGTTTCCGTGGTTTTGTTTCTCTTGAGCGGTCTTTGTTTGCTTTTGCTTTGCTTCTCACCGGATGTCCGCGTTTCGCTCGATCACAGCTTTCTGGTTCCTTTCCCCCTTTTTTTTTCGTTGTTTTTTGCACCCGCAGGAACACAGCCGATTTGGGCTAGTGTAAGGGGAGTGGCGTCCCCTCGGGTACCAGCCGGTTTTACTAGGCTAGGCGAGCCGACCCGTACCCCAGGACAACGGGATCCTGGAGGTTGAGCCCCCCACCGTGCGGAGCCAGTCGCGGTGGCTGGGCAACACGCCTCTTTGGCCCTGAGTTCTGTAAGGGCGGGACACTCAGTGGGGCGCCGCACTTGAGGAGCCATTCCCAGTCGTGATGCCGCCGGGGGTGGTGTCGGAGAGGTGTCGCCGGCGGGGTTCGGGCACTTGTGCTCGTCCTCCGTCGGTGGGGCTGATCTGTCGCTGCCCCTGGCGGTGACTCGGCTAGGCGTCAAGGGAGGAGGCGGTATCCGACCGTGGGGGGTGGTGAGTCTCTCTCTCCCCCTCGGAAGGTGCCGCCAAGTCCCGTACAGTCAGCTCGGCCGTCCCAGGCCTTGTAGCGGCGCCGTTGCGGAGCGTCGGCGGCCGAGCTGGCGGAGACCAACAGACTCGCATGGATACCTTGACCAACCCCTCCTCCCCCTCTCTCACCAATCCCTCGGCTTCGGCCGATTCTCGCCCGCCGGCCTCGGCCGACGGGCGAACGTTGCACGTTCAAAGACCGAAAAATCCCAGAATCCTCATCTTCCGGAGCGCAGACAGGGAGCTGAGCTCCTTGTCGCCCTTCCAGCGAAAGGACGGTTGTGACCGGTTTGGCAGCATCGTCCGCTGCGACCGCATGCGGGACGGAGCACTTGAGGTGGAGTTCCGGAAAAGCGAAGAGGCGACGAATGCCTTAACTGCCACTCGATTCGTGTACTCGGAAGGACGTGCCTCCGGTCGGAAGCTCGTTTCTTTGCCGCTGACGGTGGAGCCACACCGCTCCAAGAACTCCTCTCGAGGAGTTATAAACTGCTTCGACTTGAGGAACGTGAGTGACGAGGACATAGCGGACGGGCTCTCGGAGTACGGCGTGACAGCCGCCCGCCGCATCCTCACGCGAAGAGGCACGGTCCCGACAAATAACATCATTCTGACATTTGACACCACCGACATGCCGAACGAGGTCCGTGTGGGGTACATCAAGGTCCGCGTGCGCCCATACGTCCCGGCACCCATGCGCTGCTATCGGTGCCAGAGGTTCGGCCACACGAAGGACAACTGCCGGGGTAGACCCACATGCTCCAAGTGCGCTTCTCAGGACCACACTGACGATACGTGCGACTCGGAGACCCCTCGATGCGTCAACTGCGGAGAGGGGCAGAAACCGCACTCCGCGTATGACAGGTCCTGCCCTACATACGTCAAGGAGAAGGAGATCAACACCATCAAGGCTACCAGGAATCTGTCATTCAAAGAGGCCCGGGAGGTATATAACCAAAATCACCCGAAGACCTCGTATGCCCAGAAGGTGAAAGTGACAAACGCTACCGATGCCTCCCAGATGAGCGTGGCACAGCTCGTGCAGCTTCTCAAAAGATTTGGCCTCACTGTCGTAGCCACTGGTGACTCCGCGGACTCTTCGGCGCCTGGTGCGCCGCCGAGTGACACAGAGCAGACTGCTCAAGAGCCAGTGTGGGGTCCACCCAGTCCCGCTCCAGCTGCGAGCGGTGAAGGAGACGATTGGACCGTCGTCCAGCGCCGACAGGGTGGTCGGCGCCCCCCGGCGCAGGGTAAGGCGCCATCCACCCCGCCCCGCCCCCGACCGCCCACGGCGGTGCAGGAGGCTCTGCGGCAGGGAGAAGAGGAGAGGAGGGCACGAGAGGCGAGGAGGGCTCGCCTCGTTCAAAAGGCCATCGAGGCTAAGGAGGCCTCTGTTGCCGCCTCCGCCTCCGGGAGTGCCAATGCGGCTGTCGCCGCTGACACCCCGGAGACCCCTCAGGCGGGGACTCGGCCCATCATGGGTCCCCCGCCGCCTCCTCCACCTCCGCAGCGGCGGCCACCACCGCCGCTGCCAGAGACGCCTGTGTCGAGGACACAGGCCGCCGCCTCGACATCCCCGTCGGGGCGGCAACAGCCTTCCGCGGCTCCAGGGCGCCTCGCCAAGCGGCAGACGCCCCCGAGCTGGTCGCCCTCGGAGGGTGACGCCCCCCGGGCGAAAAAGCCCCAGCAGGGCTCGAGCCACGCCCGATCTGCCTCTGCTGAAGGGAGGCTACACCGAGAGGGCTCGGGGCATCCCCGTATCCGTTACGGGGGGAGCGCCTCCTCGGAGTTAGAGGACCTAGTCTAGTCTTTCAGTCTAGTCATCTCCTCTTTTATCCTTTTATCTCTCTCGCGCTATTGCGCTTTTTTACCAGGTGCATTTCTCTCGGTGCTTTTTACCTTTTTTGTGGTCAGTCAGGTATCTGTGTGCGCCTTTGCCTCATGTTATACGCGCCCTTTCTGCGCCTTTTTAACTACGCCTTTTATTCTACAGTGGAACTGTAGAGGCCTCCGGGCCAACTACCAGGACCTACAGTCTCTTATCCGTTGGCGCACACCCCTTGTTTTAGGTCTCCAGGAGACCAAGCTAGCGCCAAACGTTACCTTTGCCATCAAGGGCTACTCTGTTTTTAGAAGAGACCTGGACACCCCGACCATTGCCCATGGAGGTGTGCTTCTGGCGGTTCACCACAGCGTACCTGCGCGCCAGGTGCCGCTGCAGACTCCCCTGCAGGCGGTGGCCGCCAGAGTTGATTTCAACCACCGGGAACTAACTGTATGCTCTTTATACCTTCCACCAGGTATAGCGCTCCCGGTGGCTGAGCTGCATCGACTCGTCGATGAGCTTCCACCTCCGGTCCTGGTAGTCGGCGATTTTAATGCCCATAGCCTGGCGTGGGGATGCGACACGACTGGCACTCGTGGTCGACTTTTAGAATCTTTTATCCGCGATGAGGCGCTGTGTATTTTAAATACAGGACAGCGCACCCATTTTACAACACCCTCCGGTCAAACATCGGCTCTGGACCTGAGCTTAGTCAGTCCGCGGCTAGCTCAGCTTTTTACCTGGTCCGTCCATGACGACCCACTCGGGAGCGACCACTTCCCAGTGTGGCTGGAGCACCAGGAGTCCCCAGTGTCAGGCAACCGACCACCTAGGTGGAATGTTCGGAAAGCCGACTGGGGCGAATTCCAGGCCGCTGTAGAGGCCTCTGTTTTATCCAGAGCCGACCCCTCTGTGATGTCTACAGAGGATTTTACATGTTTACTCATTGACTCCGCAAACGGGTGCATACCCAAGACGTCGAGTCAGCCTCGTCGTCCTCCGGTCCCGTGGTGGACCAAGGAATGCGGAGATGCGATTCGTGCCAGGAAGCGCGCTTTTAAAAAGTTTGACCGGAGTAGTACTACTGAGAACCTCATCGCTTTTAAGAGAGCGCGGGCTTTTGCCCGACGCGTTTTAAAGGAGGCAAAGGCTGTTTCATGGCGCACTTACGTAAGTTCCTTAAACCGTTTTACTCCTACGACCCAAATATGGGCACGCATGAAGCGCATTGAAGGCCGGTTCAGCTCTGTTCCGCTTCCGGTTTTAAGAGTGAACAACACGGACATATCTCACCCTTCAGACGTCGCAGAGACGATAGGCCGTGCACTCTATCAGCGCTGCCGAGGAGAGCAGTCCTCACGACCTGCACCAGCCGCCGTGGACTTCAGCACAGCTGAAAATTTGGTGTACAACGAGCCTTTCTCTATGGCTGAACTCACGTCTGCCATCAGCTCGTTGCGCAGCGTCTCAGAAGGTCCGGATGCTGTCCACAACGACATGCTCCGTCATCTCCCGGCAGTTGCCCTCGAGGCGCTGCTAGCAACTTTCAATTCGCTGTGGGAGACTGGCACTTTCCCTGAGACCTGGCGGGAAGCCACTATCATTCCTATCTTGAAGGCTGGCAAGTCGGGACATGACCCTCTCCACTATCGGCCCATCTCTCTCACATCATCGCTTTCAAAGCTGATGGAGAAGATGGTCAATGTGCGTCTTAGCTGGTTTCTGGAACATCACGGTGTTTTTACAAACGCCCAGTGCGGTTTTAGAAAGCACCGCAGCCCTGTTGACCACATTTTAGCCCTCGACACCGAGATACGCACCTGTTTTACTGAAAAGAAGCACCTTGGAGCATTGTTCTTTGATATTGAGGCGGCCTATGATACAGTGTTACGACACAGAATACTTTCCAAAGTACATAAGTACGGCATACGTGGCCGAATGGGTCTCTTTATCAAGAACTTTTTATCGGGTCGTCGGTTCAAAGTCCGTGTTGGCAGCCGTCTTTCGAGCAGTTTTATTCAGGAGAACGGAGTTCCTCAGGGCGGAGTGCTCAGTGTGGCGCTGTTCGCTGTGGCGATCAATGACATTGGCGACAATCTCGCACCATCTATCGGCAAATCACTATTTGTCGATGATTTCGCAATCTGGTTTTCAGCTACGACCGCCCGTCACGTTGCCAGACAGTTGCAGCTCGCTGTAACCCGTCTGGAGAGGTGGAGCGACGACAACGGCCTTCGTTTTTCAACAACGAAGACCGTCGCTATGCACTTTTGCC